CATATATACCCCTACAGCTTACAAAACTGTTTCTTTGTTTCTTAAAAGTGCTTAAAGAAGGAGGCCTGTCCTGATAAATCCCCTCTGCTTGTGATTCAGGCTGACAACCTGCAGATTTTCTTGCTTGTAAACAAGCATGGAAGAAAGGCTGGGCTGATCTTCCAATAGATAGGAAGCGATTTCCTTCAGGAGGTGTAGGAACAATGGCAAGGTTTTTATTTTCGTTCTTCATGTGATGATTATCAGCTCCTTAGCAGCAATAGTTTGGGATAGCCTGGTAGGCTTGGTGAGGGAAGCCTTTTGCCCCAAGATCATTTAATTCCCCAGGCCAGTGCAAAGGTAGTGAAGAGCAGACGCTCACATTCGGCTGAGTGGGCAAAGGAAAGTGTTTGGTGTTCCAGGACTACAAGTATACCTACAAAATAACTACAGGTGGGTGAACCCTAAATTAGAAGCAGGTAAGAACTGTTTATTGTCATTTATCCTTGCCTGCAGCTCTTGGGGTGGGGTGTCTCTCCGACTAGCGGCTTGTCGGACCGAGCGGCAGCCGCATCGGAGCCGCACTGCCGCCCTCTCTCGGCTCCGCACGCCGCAGAGCCCCGCCAAACCCGCCCCACTTCCAGCACACGCAGCCACTAACTAAAACAAGGGAGAAAAAAAAAATATTAAAAGGAAAAAAAAGGGGGAAGGGAAAGGGGGAGGGGAAGGGGGGGAGGAAAAAAGGAAAGCCGAAATAAAAAATAAAAGAAAAAGGGAAAAAAAAAGGAAAAGGAAAAAAAGAAGAAAAAAAAAAAGGTAGAAAGGCAAAAATAAAAAATAAATTTAAAAAAAACTTTCAAAAAAAGTAATTAAAGGAAAAGAGAAAGTGTATTCTTCACTGCAGGGGTGGTAAAGCACTGAAACAAGCTCCCAGGGAAGCAGCCATGGCCCCAAGCCTGTCAGTGTTCAATAAGAATTTGTACAATACTCTTATACATATGGTTTCTCTTTTAGGTTGCTCTGTGTGGAGTCAGGAGTTGGGTTCAATGATCCTCATGGGTCCCTTCCAACTCGTGATATTTTATGATTCTTAGTACTAAAACTCAATTCACCATAGTTATAGTGCTTGCAGGACAGGATCTCAAAATACTATGCAAATGCTAACATTTAATGAAATGAAACGAGGGAAACAGATGTTTGTCCTGCCATAATTTTTCTCATTAGGTATTTTTAAAAGCCTATTAAATTAAAATAAGGACAGGCTGTATTAACTACCAGTAGTAAACCAGTATCAGACCTACCAATTCTTGCTTCTTGGGTGGGAACATGTTATGCTACACACTGTACAAGAGAGCAGCGCAGAAGACAGACAGGGAAGGGATACAGAAAACATTATCTCCATTTCACAGGTTCAGAAGAGACTGAAACACCCAAGTCACTTGTGTACTGGACTGAGCTGGGACTATGGCATAAAACCATAAGCATTTTGATCTGCTCCAGCTTGGCATTACAAGGAAGCAAGGAAAGGAGATGTGTGCAGACATCTCTGTGCTATTATTGATGAAACATTTTGCCATTTTTACTTGTAGGAATTCTGCAGGAACAAAGACTTTCCTCCTTCTGTCATAACTGCCTGGAGGTTCTCCTGACCTTTTTTTCCCCTCCCATTTTTCCAGGTGATTAAACTGTGCAGTCAGAAAGCATGACTATAATGCCAAGAAGCCAGTAATTCTAACACCACAAAAGGATAATTGTGTAATACTTCAGACCATATTAGTTTCAGCACAGACTGACCCTCAGCCGGGGAAGACAGAGTGCCAACAGCTCCCAGCACAATGACTGACAGAACTGGGACATGGCAAATTGCACTTTTGAAGCCTGCAGCAGAAGAAGAGCTAGGGGATACGCTTTGCATTAAAAACAGTCATGTACTATATTCTTAGAACAAGAGATAAAGTAGGGCAGCACATGACCACCTCCCTTCTAAACCACTTCACTTAAAACATTTTCCATCCTCTAATTCTCCTTTGCTAGTCTGTAAAATACAGTTGTCTGTCCTACTAGTGTAACATTACTTATAGTCTCACACTATACTACAGATTTGTATTTAATTAAAAGAGATTTTGCTACCTGCAAATGTCACATTAATTGAAAGAACAGCTTAGAGTGTGACATCTATCACTGGGTGAGTGAAAAGACTGCTTTTCCTCCCCTCAACTCAGTACTGCAATTGAGACTCAACATTATGGCTGTGTATTAGAAGTCTTGGTGTTGTACCCATAGAGACTAAGGCACAATCGAGGCACTCAAGTGTACAAGATTTTGACACCCCACCCCCCACCCCAAACCTTTGCTCACATCTCCACTAACTGGATGGTTTAGTAACATTCCCAGCCTGGTGTTGCCCCAGTGTGAGCAATTGGGTCTCCACAGGCAAGATCCTGAATGGGAAAGAACCTAGGGCTAGCCAGAAGTGAAAGTATAGCACAGATGAAATTTAGGTTGTCCCATGGGTTTTCCACCTGGGCAGAGAGGAATCCCAGTTCCATTCTTCGGCTTCAGGATGTTTCTGTATTTTTGCCAGTTACTATTTAACTTTCAAAGATTAAAAATAATTTGCTCCAGTTCCCACAGGTCTCAGGAACTCTGAACTCTGTTCTCCACTTTGGTGTGGCTTCCCCAGGCAATATTCCTGCTGTGGAATATCCTAGGGCCTGAGGCACAGAGCCCTCTCCTGGGAAGGGAACTTGAACCCATCCGGAATGGGAACTGAAGGCAGCCCAACATCTCTTCCTTTCCAGGATTTACAGTAGAGCAACTGCTATTACAGAGACAGGTACATTTATATATCCCTCTGACAAAGCCTAGGGCAAGCTCCTGCTTTCAAGAGATCATTTATCTCCCAACGTGAATAGGAAATTCCCTCCTCCTGTCTTGAGTGAGCTCCTCAAGAGAAGGGTGAAATACTTGACACGTCCTATTGCAACGCAGCTTCCACCAGGTACTGTAGATGTGACAGCAACACGTGGAATAGAGGGCCTGGGTCTTCACTCTGGGAAATGATGATTTGATAACCCAAACTCTCTTCTTCTGTCATTACTATAATGTATTTGAGTTCTAAAGGCATGAATAAACTCCAAGTTGTTGAATCCCGCTGACCCAGTCTGTGTATTATAAAGCTACTTTCCTGTTCCTGTACCTCATTAAAAATTTGTACTCATTTCAACTTGTGCAGACAGCTGGTACTGTAAGTAACATTAAACTAACATCTTTATTTTCAGAACACGCTTTGAACAGAGTAGCCTTAATGTAAGGAATTATTTCAACAGTTCATTTCCTAAAAATAACTAAATCACTCTTTCCAAATATTACATCCATACACAAGCTGACTCACAGCATGAAGTTTCACTGAAGCCATGGCATGGCCTCAGCAAATTCAATGCAAAAGCAATAATCTCGATTTACATAGAGACCACCCTCAGGGGATAAAACCCACCAAAACCTACACAATAAAAATAGGAAAGAAAACTCATAGGATTATCCAGCAATCAGCTTAAAAGCACAGGCAGTCTGGAGGAAGGATATTAATGTCTTTAATTCTTGAACAGCTCTAGAAAATTCTATAGTAGGGATGGAGTTTTCTATTCAATTATGTAGGACAATCTCAAATATATAAATATAATTACAAAACTTCTGTTAGATTTTGCCTACAGCACAGTCAAGAGAGACTATAATTTCACTGAGATTAGAATTTCAGACATGCTTTAACATGTTTTTAGTGCTACCCCCTGCAGATCCATCATGTACAGATCAGGTTATTTACAGATTAAGTGCCCAGACACAAGAGAGATTACAATATGAAACATGTTCAAAAACCTGGAATTAATTTTATAACTTTTGCCTAAAGAACTAATACTGCACAACACAATTGGCCCAACATCTATAGATCTGCTTTTAATTGCTACTTTCTACTACAAGAACTTTCAATCTACAATCGTATGTGTTTCCATTGATTCACCACAAAGGAAATGTCACTCTGGCTCAATACTGTTAAATGCCACTTTCAGAACAGGAAATAGAAGCTTTGAAGTGACCAAAGAAATGGAGCAATTGTGTAGTTTAGTATTTGCTTCATGCAGTTTGAAAGAATTGTTACAAATTCCTTTAAGCACTACAAAACGGGAAGCGGGTAAGATCTAAGTTAATCATGGCAAAGCAGGTTTAAATTATGTTACGCAGTTGACAAAGTTTTGATATAATCAATGGTATAGAGGTCTCAAAGTAAAATCTTAAATAGTCACTACATAAAATATCACTTTAAAATACAACTCTTAAGATTCCTAGTTTATCAATAATCATGTATCATTAAAGAGTAAATTGATAAAGGTTTTTTTTTCACACCTTCCTTGCCTCTTCCATCATGGCACTAAGCCCACATTAGCGGTGCCTGCACTAACAGAGGTGGGAGATGGAACACAGGAGAGGCAATCAAGATTGGTATGTCAACAAAGGCACCTGATGCCACTGATGCTTCTCCCACACTTCAGTCCTCAGGCACCAGAGCAGAACCAGGAACCCTCCTGACTCCAAGTTTTCCTAGTACAGACCGATCTGAAGAGCCACTTCTCTAAGCGATAAAAATAAAATGCTGATACATTCTATTGTGAAATAAGTCTGTAAGATCAGAATTACACAGTGTTATTGTTAAGCTATTTTATTCTAAGTTATACAGACCTCTGGCCAGATCACATTCAACTGTTCATTTAGCCTAATACAGGTTTCGCTTAATTAATCCTCAGAGTAAGTTCCTTTCCAACAACTGTTTAAATGCAATGTTAACAAAGGCCCCTAATTCAATCTTTTCCCCCTCCATTTAAAAAGGGATTTTTAAATATCATTGAAAGACAGCACTTGGATACTAACAGTTCGCTGCAAAGACTTCTGCTGAGGAGAAAACAAGAAGGTAAAAAGAAAAACCCCAACCCCATACACGCAAAAGGATACCAAAAAATACCAAATACAGGTTTTAAACAACTTTTACTGGTAGAAAAGCAACATTTTAGCATCATTTCACAATACAAAGATCTGTTTGGCATTATACAGACATGGTGTATCAACTCAGAATGCCATAGGTAAAGCACACTGTAATACTCAATATGAAAAGTATGACATACACGCCGTTGTATTTAGCTGGTTGTAATTACTCCTGGTGCCTCTCTGTGGATACTTTCTTAATTACAGGCCCTCCCTGCTTCATACATGTATTTTGGAATATAAAAACTGGAAATGTTAAAATACACTGAAACGTGTCCGGAAAAATCAAACCCAGGACCAATTTCTCACTACACAACAACAGCTCTACCAGATCATTGAAATAATAGCATCTTGTATGTAGACTACCTGTTCCAACATTCTACTCCCCCTTATATAAAAAACTGAAAAGAATTGTCTTGATATAGAAAATCATTCCATCTTCTTGCTTCTGCATTCATGCAACTTCATTATCAGGTTTCCCTATCCAGATATTAAACTGTAAAATGAACATTACTTATGTGGCTTTTCCACCATCTTCAGTGCTAATCTTCCAACCATTAGCAAACTGTTTAAGGGGGGGAAAAACACAGAATTAAACAATAATAATAATTTGTCAATTCATTTTCAAATACTTCACATGTAACTGGTGCATGGAAACAAAGAAGATACACAAAATACTATTTGCTCCCCCTCAGTTTAATTAAACAAGTAAGAAATCACACATAGGAGAGTAAAAAAAGAAGTATATTGTGTTGTACCTGACACCAGCAATTAGCCCTGCAGGCATGAATTTTCCAGAGTTGTAAAATCTTGTTCCCATGACAGCAGTCAGTGTTCCAGATGTAACTTAAATGAGAGATTACACAGTGCAGTCAGCAGAGACGCATGTGTGTGAGAGATGCTACAATTCAAAACTAACAGAACAGAGAGAAGTAGCAGCATCAAGTAAAAAGTGAAACAGTTATTTTACCTGATGGACAAAAAGAGTTAATAAATTGTGTAAACTTTGGAATGCCTCCATATGTGAAGCATAAATATTCTAAATCAAGTTCTAGCAGGCAGTGCACTCTATGTGCTTCTGCAAACACTCCTCAAATTTCTTTGTCAAAACGTGCTTCTTTGGAGACTGGAAATAATCTATGCTACACTGCTCTGGAACTCACTCCTTCCCTGTGCACAGGCAAATTACTAAACCCTTGCTTCTCATAAAAGGGAGAGAGCGTTTTTGTGTCTAACTTGTAGTAATGTTCTGAGAAATAACACATTTATGTTTGCAAAGGACTTCCCTTCTGAAGTGTGCTATGGAAACGCTAAGCATCACCAATCCATTTCAGCCCTGCACCACCTTCCACTAGGGTCAGAGAGTTAAAGCTGCCCACCCTGACCACTTGACATAGAGACAGGAGTCAGGTAGTTTCACTGAGCCAGTAAAATAGAAATGTCAATCACTAAACACCTTATCTCAAAGAAAGATACATACTAAAAAACCATACTAATTAAATCCTTAGCTTTAGCATGCAGCTGCTACCCAGTGGTAACAGCTACACATTAACATGCTGTTCCAATCACTCTCATTTTCTACCACTGCTTCTATGTGACGATTGGTCCTGCAGGACCCAGCTCACTTTCAGTCCTAGCCATGGCATCCTTCCTCCCTAACACTACCCTAAATACTGTCCTTGACATCTAACAGTCTACTATAAGTAACTATGTAAAAGACTGAAACTACAGTCTAACACACAAGAAAGAACTGAAATACTTCAGTACTCAAATACCCCAAGCTCTAATCAGTAGCCAGTCTTCAAAATATACACACTTCACTAAATATAATTTTGTCTAAGACAGCGCAGAACACACCTTTTCCAAAAACTTTAAAGCATGGAGGAGGAAAAGATTCCATATGCTACTGAATTACACACATATATCTCTCTGACATTTGGGAAAATACTTGATCTCGCTCCTGTTAAGACTGCTGTATCAGTAGTTTATTCCAGTTATTTAGGCTTGACCATGCACAGCTTTTGACCTATCCAGTAGATGTGGAAGTGGACTGCAGTGTAGACAATGCTGAAGTGGAGAGAAATGCTGGGCCTTCCCCTTCACTTCTGACTTTCACATATCAAAGAACTAGATGCTCTGTCACTGCTTCAGTGAACAAATGCTATAGTCAGTGGCAGCTCTTTAAGCACTAAGCAGTGAGTCTCCACAGTTCACTTCTCAAAGTCAGGAAGAAGGGAAGCTCCAGTTCTAAGAAGGAAGAAGATTCTGCATCACTGAAGCTTCCTTGTCTGTTAAATCTCCCCAGGCGTGCAACACCTTTGTATTTCCATATTTCTCATGTATAAAAATGAGCCAATCACCCCCTCTGACATTTTCAGCAATAATAAAATAACCTGCTAGGGGTATGGGCAGCCTGCAGAGGAACCACTCTTCCTGAAATTCTCCAGCCTCCTGCAGGATGCTGAAAGTAGGATCCAGATAAAAGAGGACACACAGAGGTCAGACATCAATTTACTAGCACTACCATTGGCACTATGATCCTTCAAACATGCCAACAGGAGACAGATGCATGGTGGCAGCCACCAATTCAGCAAAGCCTGGGGACTGAAACATATCTAGTGCTAGAGAACTGTCATGCACTGATGTCTTCTACAGATCAGGAATGGAGAGTAGAGGATACTACTAACACAAATACTGGCCAAAGTATTACATAAAACGTGCTCACAAGTATCTGAGATACAACAGTCTAACAAGTGTCAGGCATCAGCTGAGCTACAGGAATTATCTACATATATTTCCTCAGCCCACTTCAATTGCAAGGTACCCTAACTTATTAGTGAATGAGAAAAGTTCAAGTGATGATAGGTGATTACTGTTCTAACTTGTTCACTACCCTGAGCTCTATATGGTAAATAGAAGAAAGACAAAAATTGCATTTTGAAGATTCACACCATACTACATACAAGTTTTTAAACAGAAAATGCTTATTTGATTTTTGTTTTGCTGAAGGTTATTAAATAATGGTATTTGGTTTGACAATTTTTTTAAACCACTTAAGTTTCACTTTATCCTAGCACACATTTTCCTTCACAATCTGTAGGTTTTTTGATGTTCAGAAGATAAACTCTTAATTATAAATAACAGATATTTTCCTATCCTGTTGTAGAAAAGGGACAAAAGATTAAGTCTGAACTATCATCCAAAGCACTTCATACTTCTCACAAAAGGGATGCTGGAACATAGTGAGAAATCACCAAGCAAGACAGTTTTTAATATGCATTCTTAATACATTCTTTAAAAAAAGAATTAAGTAATGCTAACAGTTCGCATTCCAAGAGAGCACTGGAGTTTGGTCACTAGTGAAGATTTTTCACTAAAACACAAGTTTAAAGATTGGATTGAAACTTGATTTGTAACACCATCAGTTTAACTCTTCTGCAGACTTTTAGGTACTCATTTTAAGTATCCAGTTATTTTAGGGTAAATACAATCCCTCCTAGTTAAAATTTTAAATGACTTACTCAGAGATATCCAAACATTACTTGGATTCTGTGAGAGCTGATAGGCACCCAGTCCAGCCAAACTCCCAAAGAAAAGGCCAGCAGCTAGCGATGGGACACTACCTGAACAAGTAAAAGATGCCTTTATTAGCTCAGAAATAAACTTGCTCATCAGCATGTCTGTTTTGTAAAACACCAACAATAACAAAAAAAAAAAAAAAAAAAAAAAAAAAAAGGCATTCATTGTTATAAAGCACATTAGAGAGGGTTTTTTTAAGACACTAAGACCATGCTGATCTGCACCAAGAAACACATTCAAATACTCTTGTATAAGATACAAACAGCATTAGTATTTAATTATTTAACAGCAAAGACATTCTTGTATTTGTGATGGAAAGAATAATGAGACCAGCAAAAGAATTGATGCTCTCTTTGTGCAAACTGAACCATGTTGTTTCAACACAGTAATATCAGAATTTCTTGAGAGGCTGTAAAGTAGATGGACTAAACAGTAAGGGTTTAAGACCAGAAAAAGGACACAGACTGAACTGGGCAGAAAAGCATTCAAATACAGAGTTGCCAAAGAACAGAATGGAGTCAAGTAAGAGAGGTCTTATCTCCTAAGTATGCCTTAGATCTGATCCAAAGATAACTGCAGACTTTGGAAGAAGGTTCCCTGGACTCACCTAATCTTTGGATCAAGTCTTCAGTATATGTGATAATCCCAAGGTGCCAGCAGATAAAGGATACCACATCCAAACTGGAGATTTATAGAGGACATCAAATATTGAAGTGTCATGAGCACTGCGAGTGGTGAATGCTCTCAATGAGGCTAATGGAGAGTTCAGGACTTAATAGTACTGAGGGTGGTTCTTTATATATTCCATTTTCCAGGTCACCTTTAAAAGATTTGAGATTGCAAAGCTAAACTGATAAAGATCTCCTCTCAGTGTTACAGGATGATTGCATGTTGCTACCAGGAAGTAATAATTTTTCAGTCATCAACAAAGCAGCTGTAATATTGCTTCAGATGCTGGTTTTGGTATAAAAAGCAAGAGATAAAGATGATAGAAAGCAACCAGATATTCTTGTACATGTGCAAGTGGCTGATCTGCACAGAATACAGTTTAACAACCAATGTGGTAGCTACAATTATTTCCACAAGCCTGGGAGCCAAGAAATGGCCATCATATCCATGACTTTTACCTCAAGGTATTATTTAAGCAGCTATGACACATACACTTACTAGGACAACCACACCACCTCTGGATCAGAAAGTTCCTGAACCTCAAAGCACTGGAACCCACAGAATTTACTAAATTAAGAGAAAAAAATCAGTCACTCTCTGCTTGCCCTGTTCTCATATTCTTCCCAAGGCAGCTCCTACTGACTGCTGGTTGTGTAGGTAACTAGACCCGGTTGTAAAAGATCACCATCTTAGCTCTATGGAAAAAAGTTCAATTTTCTTTGGTTTCTCCAAGTTATTAGTATGAATATGATAGCTGCTTTTTTTTTTTTTTTTTTTTTTCCCTTTCCCCTCTTACAAATCACCATACAAGTTCCTGTTTCCCCTTCAGAAATCCTATGACCTGGATTCCCTTACCTCAGCATGACCACGTCCTCCCATGTGGGCCCAGAGCGTAAGAAAGACACCTACTGTTTCATAATGGCCTTAGAAAAATACGGATGCAATTAGTTACTTCAGTTCTCAGTATTGTCCCTCCTGCCCTATACTCCACTCACAGGCCAAAGGATAAACCAAGCCTACAGAAAACAGATTGGAATAGTCATTATCATCTATGTAGTCAAATGCACTGGTAAGATTCTTACAGATTTCAGCAATGTACCTTTGGATCACAAACACTAAGGTGACAGGGATTTTTGAATCTGAAAGTATTGCAGCAGGGATGAAGCCACAGTTCTGTCCGGAAGACAAACTCAGAAAAAGGTCAAGAAACGAAAGCAGTAGGTCAGAGGGGAAGCTTATGATGCAGAGCCCAGAAAAGGAACAAGTTTAAGGACTGTTTTGCATTGTTCAGCTCTACTTGGAAAACGGATCCTTCTGAAAATTTTCTGCAGCTTGCAGTATACTGTTACCATCAAACACTAAAATGAAAAAAAAACCTCTAAAAAAGAAAAAAGATGATGTCCTTTGAAGATACAAAACATTTACAGAAGGTTTATATTTAAAATAGCAGGGGAAAAGCCTTTCTGAAAGAAACTTATGTCAGTTCACCTAAAAAGCACGGCACAGAAGCAGGATACCAACATCCACCAGAAAACAGATGGTGGGTTTATCAGCCCAAAGCACCAGCTCCACCCAAAAAAAAGCACCACACCCCAACAGCAGCAAGTTATCAGCACATGGTACAAACTGATAAATTTTATACCTGTGTGAACTTCGAGATAGGAGGCTTTTGTGAAAAGCCGCCTAGCTCACACAAAGTTATTGGGGGATGAAGGGGGGGAGAGGGAGGGAGAGAAACACCTTTCCGCACTATACCTGCTTTTGCATAGCCAATAAGCCCTCCTGATGCCACCAGGGCGGCGTAGCCAAAGCCGAGCCAGTCCACTGCCATGCTGGAAGAGAAATTGGTGTCAGGATCTTAATTTTTTAGAGAAAAAAAAAAAAACAAACTAGCATTTTGCCGTGGAGGACTTTTCCACGAGCAAGGCCTGCCTAAAGCCCGAGCCCTAACCCGAGCCCAAACGATGGAAAACCGATTTGTCGGGAAGGCAGCCCCGGGGCCGGTGGGGTGGACTTCGGGGTGCGCCCCTCCGCGGAAGGTACGCGGGCGGCGCTCACCTGCCCCGCGGCCCCGCTCCGCAGCGGCGTAGGGCGGAGCCGGCGGCGGAAGGGGAGGCGAGGGAGCAACGCACCGCCCGAACCTTCCTTTTTCCGGCTGTTCGGAGAGAAGACAAAAAATTAAGCAGAGGAGGGGAAGGTGTTGGTGCCCTCCCAGTTCCCTGCAGAGCTGAGGGTAACTCCCCTGGCCCCGGAGGGGTCATAGAGGATGCCCGAGCAAGCCCAAGGGCCTACAAATAAGGAGAGACTTCAGTGCAGACAGGGTTCTGCATGTCTGTCCAGTGAGGGGAAAGCTCCCTCCTGACTGCTTTCGTGCCACCCGATCCATCCTAGTCCTGTACCGGAGGCGGGGGTATGTGGTAGAGCTGAGAATTTAGGGTTGGTTTGTCGTTTGACATGAGCTGCAACTCTAGGCAGCCCACAGGCCGCTTCCAGCTTTTGTCAGTAATTTCGGGTTTATGGAAGATGTAGAGGATTTCTTTATTTGTAAAATTACAAGCACAGCTAGTGCAACAGAAAAAGGAGCCTTCTGCTGTAGGAGTTACCCAACAGTGGGAGATGGAAAATACCTTTGCATTTTTTTATCTGGAAAAAAATGTAGATGTTTCTGTCTACAAGCTTTTTCTTTTTTGCAAGTGCTGAAACTAGCTTTCTTCATGTAAATAGTGCATAAGTTATTCCAGTTGGCTATGCGCTTACTTCCCATGGACGTTTAAGCACATAGGAAGAGTGAGCATTCCTCCAGCCAGGTCCCAAAACTGAGAGCCTTTGGTTCCTTTTCGTCAGAAGGCACAAAACATGAGGCCTGTACTTTTTGCAAAACACAGCTTTCTCTAGCTGCATTTCAAGTTTTCCCATCTTTATGAATTAGCCTAATGGTCAGAAAGTGGAGAGTAGTTCAACTCCCTTGTCGGCTTAAGTGGCTTAGAGATCTCCCATCTCCCCGAGAAGTGCCACAACCAGCACAGATGGGATTCCCTGTTCTGTTCCAGCTGTGTAATGGCTGTGAGGTTCGAGTTCCTCTGGGCTGTGCTTTGTAATTCAGCACTGGGGTTCCCCAAGAGAGGAAGGAGAAAAACTGGATGAAATCCACAGCTGCTAGAGCTGCTGAGCTCACCTGGGGCTCAGCTGAAGATGCTGTTCGCTAGGCTGTTGTTCCTTGCAGCCGTGGGCTCCATCTACTCTACCAGCATCACACACACTCACCCTTCCTGACACAGGAAGAACTTTCTCACCACTAACACCTCCTCTTGCTCTGCACTGCTGTCTCCCCTCTATCGTTCTAAGCAATTCCCTGAAAACTGGGATGGAAAATGTTCTGGAAAGGAAGATGTGCACAAGGAAATAATAACAAAAAATTGCCAAGTACTGGTTGGTAGGTGAGCGTTCACTCAATGTATAGAAAATTACTTCTCTCAGGACTGTTACTGTATTTCGCTTTAAAAGCTGTTAGGGCTTGTCTTCTCAGTCTCTAGTTCACAAATGGTTTCATGTCTCATGAGACATATAATTCTTTGTTACTACATGGGGGTTGGATTTTTACAAATGTATACTACTTACTAGTAAGTCTAAACATTGGAACCAAAATTCTGTGGAATGTTTGCTTTTTAATTCTTAAAATTATATTCAAACTGGATTTATCCTGCTACTCATAAAAGCTGGCTTCTGTAATTGTGACAGCCACGGCCATGAGCTCAGGTATTTAAAAATTCAAACATTAAAAACTGTCTTAGTACTGACAGCTATTTTGTCAAGAACAGACATAAGATAAGCATTATAAAACAGACGTAACACTTTACAAGTTAAAACACTTTACACAATTCTTGCTTAAGCTTATACTCTGTAAGTCCCATATTTACTATAGGACTTGTTATCAATTAAAAATCTGATTTGGTACCTTTCCTGCTAAGTCTACAAACCATTCTAAGTCCTACATTATTTGCCAACATTTGTGTACACACGCGTTCAAGGTATTATTAAAGTTAAAAGCTGTGTAAGTTCAAACTAAAGTATAATTGAAAATCCTTTAATGTTGAATAAACTGAGCTCATATAAATCAACTGGACTGAATATTCAGACAAGGGGTTGTGATCATTTATCTAAGTAATCTAAATAAGGGAAACAGTTACAGAATATAAACGCAGACACCCATCTCTAAGAGAATGCTGCCATTGCCACATGAACAATCTTAGAACAGCACCGATGATGTGCACCGTTTCAGTGTCAGCATACACAAGACGTAAGCTGGAGTTATATCCTATTTTACATCCCTAAGACAGCCTGCATTCCTGTCTCCAGATTTGGCTCAATCTTTTTTCTGATATTCTCTACCTCTCCTCTTGCTAAACAAATAAGGGGGAACAGGTTATTACTAAAGGGAATCAGAATAAAGAGAAATTCCAATTACTCTCTTGAAAATGAATAAATAATGACTACTCTGGTAGTGCAGAAAACAACATTAAAATGTCTTTAAAAGAAATAAAGAGAACGTTTAGTACAGCTATTTGGCCTTGTTCTCTCCAGCTCAACTTTGTTTTTCCCACTATTTGTAATAACACTTAGAATAAAATCCTGTTCCCAGTGATTGAGATCAGGAATTCATTTTCTGTTTAAGTGCAAAACAGATGAGTTTCATGCTGATAAAATGCCAAACATTCCAAATGTTAGATAATTTTTTTTTTTAAACAAAGCTCAGATCAAGGACTTGGAAAAATGCTGTGGGAAGGGGGAAGAGAAGGTAAAACTTTATTGGTGCAAACTCTTCCACCAAGAATATGTATTGTATTCTGAACAAAATATTTCAATCATGTGAACCATTGGTGCAAAGACTTTAAAAAAAATTAAATGCATGAAGTACGGACACAGTAAAAAAAGCAAACATTTTGCTTATAAACTATGTATAGGTCCATGTCAAGATCTACACGGTATGATTTTCTGTGATTATGAATGGAATATGATCATCCCTCTTTCAGTAATTTTAACATGTTCCTTCTTACAGTAGGAAAAGTAATGCATGACAAAAGCAGATCATATTTTGAGTCAAATGAACAGTAACTTTTCCAACACTAAATTAAAAAAATGTATGTATTTTTAATGTGCATTTCAGTGAGACAAAAATGTAACGGAGACAGATGCAGCTATTTTTATCATTTTAGCTGGCTTTTTCAGAGCCAGTTAAGAAGCGTATGCTATTGTTAATAGAAAAATATAAATATTATGAATTTATTTTTGTCTTGATCACTTAGGAAAAGTTGCCATCTCTTTTGCTACTTCCCAGAATGATCAGTCAATTTATTAGGGTAAAAGCATTCATTACTTTTAAACAACAGATCACTTTAAAGGTGTATGTCCTGTCAGAGGTTCCCATCCTCATAAAAACTACAGCAACGCTAGCATTTACTTTTTCTTCAGGAGAGAAAGTAGCTGCCTTCATGCTGAGCTATTCCTTTTCTTTTTCTTCTTTTGCAGTGGAGCTTCCAATTTTTGCTTCTTTGGAGTAATTTTTCTCTTTCTTTCTGATGTTTTGTCACTTTTATCAGTCAAACAACCTTTTTTTTTCTTGACTATTGACAATTTTTCATCTTCATTTGCTGGAAAAAAGCAAGAAATTATTCACACTGATATTTATGTCCAGTCTTTGTAGTCTAAAATGGCACAGACTTACTTATATCTCATTTTTCAAAAAGAGGTTATACATGATTTTTTACTTACAGCGGAATGTACCATTTATGCTAGTTTTTCCTATGATATGCAAGTATCTAAATATCAAGTGTGTAAATAGATTATGATACAGTAAAACAACAGCAAAAAACTAAAAAAATACTGAGCCAGACTTCCTAAGTTTTCCCAACCACAATGGCCTCAAGACCTAGTTTTGGTTTATAGGAAAACAAGACGTGCAGTTCTATCAAACTGTTTTTTCTTTTCTTATCTGTCTCAAAAGCTTCACAGTGGCTTCCTCAGTATGTTATTTCAGTAAAGAGAGACAAAACTTTCATATAATAAAAGTGAGAGGAGGCTTATGTCCTCCAACATACATGTGGGCTTGAGACACTATCAGACTGGTAAGGATATTTATATCCCTTGCCAGTGTCATATCCCCAGTTCTTCAAGATATCGGAAGTTTTTCCACTGCATGCAGTAAAAACCTCCCACTTACTATCTTCCATTTCAGAGTCACATGAACAACCAAAAATACACACAGTTCTGTTACCTTGAGATGACGTTGCAGCTTTCTCAGAATTTTCTTTCATTTCTGAAGCTTGGTCAAGCCATACTGCAAGACATGTCAGCCGAGCTTTGGTACTGACTTCACACAGTAGAGATGGCACATCTTTAATCTGGAGATAATACATTAGAAGATTAATTACACATTATTGTATTTCTATTTAGATTTACTGAAGTATTTGAAGTGAGAAACATACTGCCTACCTTCCACTTCATTTCTGGTGCCTAACAATGTTTAGAACTAGAGACTGTATATTGGCTAATGGTCACATTATTGCAGTCCTGTTCCTGATACCATTCCTCAGTGGTGGCTTTACAAAAAACTCCCAGTGGCTTTAAGAAAATATCTTGATAAGCAAGACCAGTGGGTTTCAGGCACATGGGGTAAGTTTAACTTGATGAATAACTAGATGAGTCACAGACCCCCACAAAAAAAAAATGGTTTCAGAAGTTTCTCCAGAGTAATAAGTATTTTTTGGTACAGCTGAAATAATGTGAATGAAGTTATTGCATTAGATTCCTTTTCTCCCTCACAAAGACAATGCTGCTGATTAAAAGTAATCTCTTCAGAGTGTGTTTCAAATTGCTTAACTGCAATTATATCAGTCAGCTCTGGGAATACTTGAGCAAATATCCTATTACAGGTATCAGGGGATAAAGTGTTACAAACACATGTACAGCACAACAACATCAACCCATCAGAAACTACCTGTATTAGGATATTCTACCCCACAGAGCTGGACAGAGCAGCCCACAGAGTTATACAAATTTTTACAAAATTTTACCCACACAGGAAGAAAAGCACTCATTTGGTCAAAATAAAGACAATGTCACAGAAAAAGGTAAAAAGTTCCCTGATCACTATGTCAGTTATGTACAAAGGGATAAGAAATTTGAGGTGAAGGGGAAAGAGGGATTTTCACTATTGCACTTATAAGTATAAAAGTAACCAGAGGGGGTCAAATTAAAAACAGGCAAATTCAGATGATACATATAAAGCATATAAATGTTGAGAGATATTTATTTGAACTATTCAAAATACTTATAGTGGAATATAGTAGATCCTTTATTACTGGGCATTAAATTAAAAAAATCTAATTCTGATTTTAAAAATACAAACCCAAGAGCAAACAACAAACATGGGAAACTTTAATGATAAGACGTGATTCCTTCTTGAACTGTGCTACTCAGAACTGTTTGAAAATACACGAAATAGAAGTACCCAGTATATTAACATGTTTGAATTTTTCAAAAGGACAACTTTTTCCCCTTACATGAACAATCCCCACCCCAAACCACAGAGTTTGTGTTTTTAAAAGACTAGCAACAGTCACCTCAGCAGTGCTTAGAACATATATAACTAAATAAATAGTCTGGCCAGTTAGGTCTGAAAGGAAGCATGACTTTATATATAAAAGAGGAGATGAGATCTCTGTAATATCATCAAATTTGATAGTTTGCTTAAAAGAAATTACAAAGATACAAAAATATACAGGTGCATAAAAATATGTGGATAGACATATACACCTCTACTGAACATAGCATGGAGGAGATCAAGACATCCAGATTTTAAGTAAAATTTCCTCAGTGATTTAAAATTAATTTTTATTACATAACTGTCTGCAGTTTCGGTTATGTGGTATTTTTCTGTAAATTTAACAAGCAGTTTAACAGACCAACCTTATTAAGATCCAGATTCCACATTTTAATGTAACCATCACTGGATGCAGTAACAATAACATGTTGTCCTTCTCTTTCAAAACTATAGATATCTTTTATTCTGTGAAGAAAATATAATACTGTGTTACTTTATAGCATGGCAGTTCAGAACAGGACACTGCAGAAATTAGATGAGTAGGCAATAATTTAAAAATCAGTTTGAACAGAAAACCCACAAATGACAGGCAGGAATTTGGAACGATAATCTGTTTTGAGTTCTATCATTTACAGTCAGAATGCTTGCCTTTGCTAGGCTTGTTAGAATTCAGTTCAGAACATTTTAATACTTTTAAGCCCACAGTATTAATCACTTCAATGACATTTAGCTAATACTTTTGTGTTTTGATGAATTAAAAGCAGCATCTTGACAAATATTTGGTTTTCGACAACAGAAAATACGTGATTACTCTCCTATTGTCTGAACTGAGTACACTGGTTTGGTTTATTTAAGCATTCTGAAGAGTCAGAATCTGTAAAGACACGTTAAACATTCTTTAGATGGTCTTGCAGGAAAATATCAGTACCCAATTTCAGAAATGCATAGGCCACACACAGAGAAGTGTGTACCTCTAAATTTAGAACTGTAATATTTCTAATTCTATACCCTGTTGTTTTTGTAACGTGCATGCCTAGCACAATATTTATGCTCATACTAAAAGCAAAACAAGTCTGTCCCAAATCTGGAATTTAGCACATAAATTCACTTTCTATACTAAAACAAATACAATAGTAAAATATGCTGAACATAACAAGTCATTGAACTTTACAGAGTACTCAGTGTTACCATAAATATTTAAATAGTAAACAAATATAGAATACCTGTTTTCATGAGCTTTAAATTCACACAGGCATTTTTGTGATTCACAGCTGTAGAACCTTATAATTTCATCATCTCCAGCTATGGCAAGGATAGAATCCTGGGAACAGGAAAAAAGAAATGCAAGTGTGATTAATTTCATGATTTTCAAACCAGTTAATTTCCCAGCACCTTTCTTTTTTGTACTTACTGTAATAAATCTAAGTGAAGAAATTCTCTTCTCTGTTGTGATAGTGCCAGTGATTGAAGCTGTGTCAAGTTTGTAGATATCCACTTTATTTGTTATCACGGTCACATACCTCTCTCCATCAGGGGACCATTTAATTATGTGGGCATCTGTACATGATACATTTGTGTACACAGATTTTTTGCACTCTATATTGCATAAGAATCTAAAAGTAAGAATGTTTAGAAGCTGCTAGACACTGTTTTCTACTTAAACCAGCAAAAAATTCAGGAAAAAAATAAAATAACTGAGAATAAACAAGTAAAACTGTGGTCTTAAATGTTTGTTTCTGATTATCAGAAGTGTATAGAGAAAAACAAAAGAAAATTTATTTATTTAAATGTCCTGATATCAAATTTCAAGGAAAGAAAAATTTACTTTAGTGTCACTACATTTTCCTTTTGGTAAATGATTATTATTAAGGACGTAAGTTTACATATGCTTGCCTGCACATGTAAAATGACAGTGTGAAAGTTGCTTTCAATTAACTGACTTGTTGATTAATTCAGTCTACTCCTCTTGTCTAATTCCACTTTTTTACTGGATTTAGACTGACAAACTCACTTTGCTTCAGGTTCTTGATAAAGGCTGACCGTCCTTCTACAAGATTCCAAGTTCTGAAAGACAACAATAGATAATGTGCATTCTGGTTAAAAACAGCACAGTGAAACTGAAGTTCTCTTTGCTGACATGAGGCAACTAAGGAACCTTTTAAGCATCTCTATGCCTTTTATTGCCTTCTTAATGCAAGGGAAAACGATGACTTCACATATCATTTGCACACTCTAAAGTTGAATTTGTGATATTTACTTTATAGATGAACATTTACAATGCAGAGCCCAAAAGGAGCGCAATACCAATTTATGATGTTAAAATAGCATCATATATTTAAAACACATACATACAACAACATTTATAGACTCTAAGTGAAAAATAACTTTTCTCACACTAAACAAAACCTGACAACTTTCAGAAGTTTAAATAAATTGTGTTCCAAAATGCAAATGTAGTTATACATCTACAAGTGACTATAAAGCGTCAGACCACCACAAGAAGCTAGGAACAGCAAGGACTAATTTCAAAAGACTTTAAAATATTGCTGGTATCTAGAACTTTAAAAGAATAATCAATAGATCTTTGAACCAATTGATGTCCAAATACGTTTTATTAGTGTTGCACGGTCGACTCCAAACATGGAATTGTTGTTGATTACAATTTACTAAGAGCTACTGAATTATGATTCTCAGCATTCCTTCATCAGTCTCAACTCACCTTAATGTTTTATCTGTTCCTACTGACAAAGCCAGTTTCCCAGAAGGATGAATAGAAAGAGATGTCACCTGCCCCCTGAAAAAAACAAAACAATGTATTAACCACGTACATTATTTACAAATGAAAATAAAAATGAAAACGTACGTGAATAAGCAGATTTAAGAAACTCACTTATGTGCCTTAATAGATTTCAGGCATTCCCATCTCTTTGTGTTCCAGATACAAATTAGTCCATCTTCAGCCCCACTCAGTAGATGTGCAGTACCATAGAACTCCAAACAAGTTATTGTGCCTAGAAATACAAACCAGAGCTCCTAACAATGTGTACGTAACCAACAGTTACCACACAGAGAACCTATGAATTAAGCTTCTAGCATCAAACCCTACCCTTGGGAAAATATGAATTATTTCCTACATATTTCTTCACAAACCCCCCAAACTTGCCATAGACGTCTGAACTCCATCTGGGCTGTTCCCTGAAATGGCAGTACTCAACAACTGTGGCTCAGGTGACACTGAGCTTCGATCAATATTAGGAATTCTCCTATGTCAAAGCCCTGCTCTTGACACACAGCTGAATTTACTGCGCATGCTGCTTCTCATACGTAATTATCATACATGAGTTGAAAGCCTGGACCACATTCAGTCTAGCTCCATGTACTTCCTGGTTATCAGGAGAAGAAGGACAATCAGGATTGAGCTACAAATGACACAAATGCATTTATTTGGACAGCCATTTACTGATGTATTTCATGGCTGTAATTCAGGAGGCACCTAAAGTGGGAAATGGACCAGGTTACATGCAGCCTGCTCTCACACACAAGCTCTCTTTTGTGTGGCTCCTGTTTGTCTGTGACAGGACAAGGGCCCTAGGAAAGATGGTTGATGGGAGCAGGCATGGTCTAGATAAACTGTGCTGGTAGAACAAAACTGGCTCCCAAGCCATTTGTGGTCCATAACTTCTTAAACAGTTAAAACTAAAAATAATTGGAAGCAGCAGCTATATTTGTGGGCTAACACCCAAAATTATTGTTGGATATTTCATGCTCAAAAGCTTACCCTGCTTATATCAACAGACCATCACGACTGTAGCACCATCACTACTTAAGACGTACCAAAAAAATTTCAATTTTCTTCTAATGGCACGGGCCAGGTTTTCAGCTACAAGTTTCTATCATTAATGCTTTTCACGAAGAAAAGCTCCCTTACCATTGTGCTGCAGCAGTGCCCCATGTTCTATCTTCTTTTTCATGTCATAGATTTGGATCGTCTCATCTCTGCTCCCAGTGACCACGTATCTGTTGTTCACTGCTACCGCTGACAATGAGGCAGAGTGGGCATGATGTGTAAAATCAGGGACAACCGTCCAGGACTGTAAATGAAATACAAAATAAACAGGTCTTTCTGAAGCTTGCCATATTGAGCTTCGACTTCATCGTCCTGTGATTTTTTTTTTTTTTTTAAAAAGCAAAACTTGAGAAAGTGTATGTGCAAAATGCAAAGGCATTATACTTAGCTGAAAGTATAATAGGATCTTATTGAGTTAATGTGCTGTTGGGAGATTAGCCCGAACGATTTAAATGTGCAAACCGCCTCCTGTAATGTGTTGGGCTTAGATGAAGCCGTATGTGAGAAAGTCTCTGCACAGAGATAAATCTCGTGGACGAGGAAGGCGGATTCTCCCTTCTTCCACCATTACAGGCTGGAGACACGCCTTCCACCTGGCACCAGCCCCCACTAGACAATGTGGCATCCATCCCCTGCGCAGCTGTTTATTCTCAGCTCCGCGCTGGAAGGCTGAGGGGAAGGAGTTTGCGCCGCAGCTCCCTGCACCCACGCAGCCGGCCGCTGCCCACGGCTCCAAGGATCCGCGGGGCCCCCGGGAACCTTCCCTGTCCTGCCCTCCCCGCCAGGCCGAGCAGCGGAGTGTCCGTGGGCCGCTCCCACACCCCGCGCCAACAGCGAGGGGCCGAGCCTGAGG